CTCACACGCAAGTGAAAGTTGGACACTGAATAAGGGAGACAAAGAACTGATGCGTGTGAATGATGGTGCTGCTAAAGAATGATGACAGTACCACAGTCTTCCAGAAGAACAAGTCTGCCTTGGAAAAAGTAAGGTGGAATGTTCCTTAGAATCGAAGATATTGAGAATGCACCTCACATATTTTACACCTGTTATCAGGAGAGACCAGTACCTGGAGGACATCATGCGGGGTAAAGTAGAGGGGCAGGGAAAAGAGGAAAACTCTCAATGAGATGCCATGACACACTGGCTACACCAAGGGTTCACACATCGTTACATCTATGAGGATGGCTTGGGTCAGGGGAGAGTTCTGTGGTATTGTACATGAAATCGCTGTGAGTCTGAACGGAACTGACAACAGATAAAAAGAGAAGCAGCATATCTACAAGCCCATAGGGAAAGACAATGGTGGGTACTCTAGAAATAACTTCTAAAACTTGCTTACTATGTGTCAGACTCTGTGATAAGCATATTAAAAGATTTCATGTAATCCTAAGAACCTACACAAGGTACCATGAGTCCATTTCTTCTCTCCACTGTGCAGTTGCTAAAACTACGGTGTAAGAGCTAACTGGCTAGCAGTTAAACAGTGCACAGTGAGTGGGCAGAGCCATACCTGGGATCCTGGCCTGAGTTGCTTGTGTTGGACCATACACAATCATCTACATAGAGTAGAAAATAACAGCGAGTACAACGTACTCATGGATTCAGAAGGCATAACTTGAAATTTTAAATTGCCACTGATGCCACAAGCTGATGGATAAGAAAAATGCAGGAATTGTTTTAAGTTAAATTCCAATAGCATGGAAGATAAAAATAGCACTTACTAACTCATTTAATCCTTATAAAAACCTTATAAGATACTAAGCATTGTCTGTTAACAACTCTATTTTAGAAATGAGGAAACCGAAACTCAGATGTTCAAAACGTATCCCTACACACTGTTAATAAGATATCAGGATTTAATCCTGGCTAACTGGCTCCAAAGGCCATGCTCTGAACTAGCACTCTTAGACTGAATACTTGAGATCCCAGTTCTATGGCTCTCTATATCTACGGTTACAAGATGACAAATTGAAGGGTCATCGAAGGAGACAATGTTTCCACTTATTGTTATGAGTAAATGCTGTGCAGACCCTATGTACAAGACAACAAAATGCTGCCAGGTCCTACACAGTGCTCACAATGCTGAGTCCAGTGTGGCGGCCCTCTGTATCAAAGCACCTCATTAAGGATCTTCCTCTTTTATACTGACCCTCTATTTTACCAAGCTTGATGTCCACTTTCCAGGGACTGGTTCCTCCTGATACAATGGCCAAAATACCTGAGTCAAAGTCTCGCCATCCTCCATTCTAAGAAACAATCCACTGTGATTTCTGAGAGAGATTTGTTTGCTTACCACTTCTTGCATTGTTACTTTCCTTCATTCTAAGGCCACCTTGTTTCAACTATTGTTCTACTAAGCAGAGTATTAAGAAATATCAAAAGAAATACATACAGAGAATCTAGATAAAGAAAATTTCTGAGTGTTTCAATTTAGTCTTTATAATCAAACAAAACCAAATTGGAGACCAAGGCCTTTAGAGGGAAAAGATGGGAAATGTTAACCAGCTTACCTTGAAATATTTCCTTCTCATTCGAGTCATGTTCATTAACATAACTCCAGAGTTCACTCCGGTTTTCCCATAGTATGGATGTCTGGCAAAGCGATTATACCATCCTATCCGAGGTTCCTCGTGCTCTGGTGCCATTGCAGCAATTTGTGTGGAATTAAATTTCTTTAGTAAAGACCAAATATCATCAACGGGTCGTAAAAAAAGAATATCTGTGTCCACATACAATAGTGAGTCAACTTCTTTCAGGATCAACTATAAAGAAAGATATTTAAATCACTATAATTTATCTAACTAAAACATAAGATACTTTAAATATAAATCTACTAAAGATATAGTTTTACATTTTAAAAATATTTTCCAAGTAATTTTTCTAAATCTGTAATTTTTTGCTATGCCATAAAGAGATGATCCTAATAAAACTTTCGAGGGAAGAAAACTAAAAAAATAAAATTGAGAAGACCAAATACTAACAATCAGGACAAGAAAAGTGTTATCCTCTTCAAGGATCAGGAAGTGGTGGAGGGAGGGT